CCCATGGCCACACAGAGTTTGTACAATCAATGAATGAATCCTGATGATTTGTAGTTATGCCTCCTACTCCACATATATAAGACAGAAGCTAGAGTTTCTGAGGGTATAGACTATATCTTACTAACTCTTTGCATTCTCAGCATTCCTTAGCATAATGATTAAACATAATGCCCATTCAATAAAAGCTTGTTAAACTGAATTAAATTGAACAGACTCGACCATGCTCCAAGATACAGATAGAACTTCTGATGGGCCTCCAAGGGTTTGCAAGAAACAGAAGAAGGATAAGGATATTTCAGGTTAGAGGAAATATAAGCACCATTGAGAGGCCGGTAAAGAGGCTGGCCTGCTTGTGATGGAGGGACATGTCACATCCCAAGATAAACAGGCATAGCAGGGAAGACCAAGAGGGCAGTGGTGGTTCAGTGGTAGAGTTCTCGCCTTCCTCGCAGGAGACCCGGGTTCAATTCCAGCCCATGCACCTCAAGCACAGCCACCACTCGTATATCAGTGGAGGCCTGTGTGTTGCTAGGATGCTTAACAGGCTTCAGCGGAGCTTCCAGACTAAGACAGACTAGGGAAAAAGGCCTGGTAATCTACTTTTGAAAATCAGTCAATGATAACCCTACAGATCACAACAGTCCGACCCCACTGTGCATGGGGTCACCATGACTCAAGGGCAGCTAACCACAATAAAAGGGATGATCATGCTGATACCTCACATCCAATCCATCAGCAAATCCTGCCAGCACCATCTTCAGAACAGTTCCAGAATCTGATCCTGCTTATCACCTCCATCACGATCACTCTGGTCCAGGCCACCATTACCTGTCACCTGGATCACTGCAATAGCCTCCCAACAACTCTCCTGCTTCCACCTTTGCTACCCTACAGCTTATTATCAACGCAGGGACCAGACCAAGCTTCACTCACAAGAAAAGACAAGCCCTCAGCCTAACCTGAAGGCCCTCACACCCTTCCCCATTGCTTCTGTGGCTTCATCTTCTCCTGATCTCCTCTCACCCACTCCACTGCAGACACGCTGGCCTCCTTGATACTCCTGCAACACACAGAGGTCTTCCTGCCTCAGGGCCTTTGGGCTTACTTTTTCCTCTGCTCCTTCCCCCAGATACCTGCATAAACTCACTTCCTCAACCCTTCCTGGTCCTCGCAAACGTTACCTTCTTGGTGAAGCCTTCCCTGAACATCCTAATTCAAAATGCAACCACCATCTCCTCCATCTCTGAAATTGTAGGTCCCTCCTCTTCTCTATTTTTCGCTCAGTCTTTACCAACATCTGACGTGCTGAATATTTTACTATTATATAACATTACATAAACTTCACCAGGGCAGGGGCTTCAGTCTTTGTTGTTCACTGCCATATCCTCAGTGCCTAGAATAAGCACACACGAGGTGCTCCATAAATAACGGCATACTTAATTAACCCATTAATTCCCTGGGTTTATGGACTATCTACAGCAAAAAAAAAAAAAAAAAAGATTAAAACTGAGTCTGACTACTCTGGAATACAGCAGGCCATGTGCCCAGGGCACTGTGGACCGACTCATACACCCACATTTTCTGCCTTCTCAGAGTTGGGGGACTAAACAGCGAAGTTTTGCCATTTTTGTATATGCCCAGTAGCTTGGCCGAATGAAAATTTACCTCTCCTTTTTCATGGAAATCATCATCACTGTCAGGACTGAATCAGAAGTTGCTGTTGTGCTTCCCACCCTGGGTGCACTTCAGCTGGCCATACTGGATTCTCTAAGGCGCAGAAGCAGTGATACAGCCTTGGGGATGGCAGTGCGCAGAGGTTTGCTGCAGCCGGCATTCCATCTGCTCCCACCATCCCCAGCTCAGCGAGGCAGCAGCAAAGAACCACCAGGATTTCTCAGCATCAGCGAGAAGAGGTAAGACTCAAAGTTAAGTAACAATATGAAGTATTATGTAAATAAAGGCCAAAGGAACAGTGTAGCACCAAGCAAATGGTATAATCAACATGTGGTATATAAGGGCTAGAGAAGGAGAGAGAATTGTAGCCTGTCTGGATTGAGGAGTCTGCGGGGGGAGGGGGCAGGCGGGGGGGACTATAAGCTTATCTTGTCTGATGGAAAGGTCCCTGGGTGGAAAATACGGTTTGGGCTCAACTACTAACATAAAGGTTAGAGGTGTGAACCCACCCAGTGGTGCCATGGAAGAAGGACCTGGTGATTTGCTTCCTTAAAGACTACAGCCAAGAAAACTCTATTGATCAGTTCTACTCTGTAACATATGGGGTCACCATGAGTCAGAATCAACTTGATGGCAACAGATTTGGTTTGGTTTTTGTTTGATGGATAGAGTTCAGAGATAAATTGAGAGGGAATTCAGAACAATCCACAAACAGGTAAAAAACTACCAGTGTGGGATTGGTCACACACCTAAGCCTTGTTCTCACACCCAGGCAATTACCCTAATCCCCCAAGAGTAACTTTTTACCAGT